AGGACTCAGGCGCCAGCCCCACGGGACACAGTGCGGCGTGGGGACAGGTCTCCCATCTCACCTGCACCAGCCCGGCCATGTCCTCAGCGTGACTCAGCAGCGCTGCGTCTCCTGCCACAGCCAGCCCTGGCACACAGCCTCACCGCGGTGCACAGCCCCGTCGCAGCCCAGGGGACACGCTGGTGTTCCTGGGGGGGATGTGCTGCTGCCCTGGGAAGGGGCAGCGCAGGGAAGGGCTGGGGGCAGCAGTGGGTTATCCTGCTCTGCGGCAAAGCGCAGCCCCAGCACTGCCCGGCAGAGCACAGCTCGGCTTATCAGCACCCGCCAAAGCACCCTGCGAGGGGACGCTGATAGGGGACACCCCAGCCCACAGGACAGGGAAACACGCCATGGCTGCTTCCCTCGACAGCAGCAAGCGGCCCCGGCTCCTCAGACCAGGGGGGTTTCTCTCATAGTCTTATTTCTTCTCTATGGCCTCCCAATTTACAAGAGAGACCCTTAATCTCTCTGGCACTGCCTCCAGCTCCCCCCTGCAGAGTGCCACCAGCAAAGCCACTCGCCCAGTGCAGGGATGTCCCGGCGGGCTGGCAGGCATCCCCTGGGGCACCGCTGCCATCTCTCCACTGCATCCTTCTGGAGGGAAAGGACAAGAGCATCTCTGTGCTCCCTCCTGCAGCTGGGCAGCACCCACCTTAAAACACGCCTTATCCTGGTTTGTTTCCCCCCAGCACAAGAAGCAGGGGGCTGCGCTCGTCCCCTCAGAGGCAGCCACGAAGCCGTGCCAGCATGCAGCACAGCCCGGGATGAGCGGAACGCCCAGCCCCACGCTCCAAGAGCATTCCCTCTCCTCTCGCGGGCACGTCAGGGATGGAGACACCGCAGCAGCCAGTGCCAGTTCCCCAGCCCGCGGGCAGACCCACCAGCCCAGCCTGGCAGCATCCCGGCCCCATGGGACGCCGGGGACAGAGTGCAAGGCCAGCCCGGCTCCACCGCAGCAGACAAAAGCCCCTTGTTTTCCCCTGCGTTCCCAGGAGAGGACGATGCTGCTCAGCCTGTGCCAGGCAGGCGCCTCCTGGGAGGCAGTGATGGGTTCCCACCACTGTCCTTTATGCCTCCACGGCACCCAGTGCTTGGGCAGAGTGGGAGAAGCTGCCGGCAGCCACAGCAAGGCCGGCTCACGCCACCGTGGCCGGTGCCCCTGGGGCACCACAGGAGGACAGCCACCATCCCCAGGGTTCCCAGAGCTCTCCTGCTGCCCCTCAACCCTTTCCCCTCCTTGGCATGTCCATCAGAGACAGCAGACACTGCCAGTCCCGTGGCACAGGGGCTTGCCAAGCACCAGAGTTTCTCCTGCAAAGCTGAACAGCTCCTGCAGGAGCAGCTGGCGGGTCCCTGGCGAGCAGTGTGATGAGGAGCAGCATCCTCCAGCTGGGTGGAATGGTCCCCAAAAAGCCCAGCACCAGCTGGCACCTCTCCGTGCCACTACACACCACTGTGCCAGCGGCACTGCTGCTACCGCTGCCACACAAACGCCCCAGGTGCTGCCAAGGCCACTGCCCTCCCTCCTACACCGCAGACCTGAAGCGCTGGACATTTTAAGAGCCACAAATGTTTGTTCCCTCTCAGTCCCAGCACCAGCTGCTGCTTCGGCACCGCCAGGAGCCAGAGAGCAGGCAAACACCCAGGACAAGCACCAGTCCAGGGGCAACCAACACCTTGGCTCACAGCAGCCATATCAAACATCGTGGGGAGGGATGTTGCACCTCCTGCAACCTGCCTGCAGCCTCGGCAGTCGCCGCGATTAGTGACGTTTGTCTGTGCAGGGGAGACAGGGAGGCTCTGCCCGGTATCCTGCAGGCAAAGCCGCATCCACGGGCATCCCTGAGCCCACAGAGAGCCCCGGCACAGGGACAGCGTGCCCCTCCTGGGAGGGAGGGGGAGGTCCTGCTCTGCTGTCAAGCGTCCTCTCCCCACACCATTTTATTCCAGCGGAAACCTTATTCTATGCAAATAAAACACCCCATTGCCCATGAGCTGCAGTTCCTTCCACCCCCCCTCCCTCGCCAGGGCTGTCGAGAGCTTTGCAACCTGTTTACCCGGACTTTAACCGTCAGCTTCAGCTCTTGCAACACCGCGGAGTCAGCAGGAACAGCCGGCAGCGAGCGCTCAGGAGGTGAAAGAGCAAGCAGGGCAGCCCAGATGCCGAGCCAAGGGTCTCAGCTACTAGCTGGATGCAGCGGAGCCAGAGGAGAGAGGATGTCCTTCAGAGAAGGTCGCTCTGCCCGTCCCCAGAGAAGGTGCCTCTGGTGGGGGGATCCTGCTCCCGGTGCCGGGAATGGCTCCTTGCCTGCACCGAGCCTGCAAGTGCCCCGGCTGCCAGCAACCCCCACCCCGCAGGCCAGCGGGGAAGGGAGAGATGGGAAAAATACCTGTTTGTCAGCCACTTGGCAGGGTTTTCCCAGAAAAAAAGTTTAGCTCGCCGTTGCGGAGGGGGCAACGGAGTTATTCAAGGCCGCGGCCGCAGCCCTTGGGCACCGCTGGGGAGAGCTGGCAGGAAGAAGAGGGTTTTTGGGGACAGTGGGAATGTGCTGTCCCTGCGATGCTCACGCAGCGTGTGACGGCATCGGCGCGTGCAGGTTCGGCTAATGACCTCAAACCCCATTAGCAAGCGGCTTCTGGGGACACCACTAGCTGCCCCCCAACCAGCCCGTCCCAGGGACCCCAGCTCCGGCACCCAGGACAGGGTGGGTGCCGAGGGCAGGAGGATGCAGCCGTGATGGGGAAGACGAGCGGAGCCCCGGGGGCTGACAGGAACCAAGGCTGCGCAGCTGGGGTGGGCACTGCCACCCCCTACCCAGAGGCAAGTGCCCCAGCGAGCTCCCACTGCCCTGTTTGGGAGCCTCAGAGGGGCAGGAGGTGGCACTGGCCCTCCGCCACTCCTGCAAGTGACTGCGCCCGTGACAGCATCCCGCTCCTGCGGACGGACGGAGCAGCAGGTCTCTGTGCAGCTCTGATGAGAAGTGAGCACCTGGAGAGCAATTTCAGCCTCTCCATTTTAGGGGTAATTTCACACGCAGATACACAAGCACCCGATTTCCATAAAAAAAAAAAAAAAAAAGCTCCTTTTAACTTCAGATTTGACAGGATCCTTTCAGGCCAGAGGAAACTATTCCTAAGGGCCTGGAAGCAAAGCAGCAGAGCTCCCGCAGGACCCTCGATCGCCCCTCCTGCCAGCTGTGCGGTGGAGGGCAACAGGAAGGCACAAACAGGCTTCCAGCTCCTCTCCAGAGCTCCAGCGAAAGCTGACCCCCCCGCCCCGTTTCCCCCTGTTCCAAGGGCACCCGGCCCCTGTGCAGAAGGTGCGGGTGTACGGGGTGAGCTGAGCAGCCACGACCCCGTGACACGGACCACACGCCGCAGTCACCGCGGGCAATCCTGCCTGCCTCCTGCGTGCCGCGCTTACAGCTCCTACCCTCACGAGGAGGCTTGGTGCCCTTTCCCATTAGCCGAGACAGCTTTCAGAGCTGGGGAAATTAGGAAAAAAAGAAAATAAATAAAAGTCAGGGAGGCAGAAGTACCCACCGCCAGCTCACGACAGTTCTCTGCAGCACAGACCGTTCTTCCCCACCGCCGAGGGATCGACCCCTGATTGGCAGCCATCCACGCTGCTCTCGAGCCATGCCATTAACATAACCCAGGGAAAGGCAGCGGTGGAGAAATCCTACCGTGCCTGCAGTGGTGAAACGAGTTTAACGGGCTCCACCCTCCCCTCACCATCCCACCATGGGGCCATCTTGTGAAACAGGATTAGGGGCAGAGCCCGGCTGCCAGAGCAGGCAGGCGCCTTGCTGGGGACGGTGGTCTCCCGCAGAGCTTGCCTTCAGCAGGGCGAGCACCGCAGTTCTCGCCAGGGCACCTCCTCCTGCCCTTCACCACCCATCCACAGCCCCATCCTTGGGGAAAACCACCACAGGGCTGCTCTGCAGGGAACGGTCTTATATGGCACTGAGATGTGGGAGGGCTGCTTCCCCCAAAACACACTGTCAGATT